AAAACCGATTTTCCTTGCATTTTTGCAAGTTTCATGTTGAGCAGAATTTTTCATCAGCTTAATTCGAACTCTAGCACATTTCCAATCACTTCTAATACATCAAATACAGTAAAAGATGCATTTGACATATCCAAAATCGTTACAAAACTAGTTTTCTTTCAATTTTTTCAAGTTTCAACCTGAGCAGAAGTATTTCTCTTTGTCGAAAACAATATGTAAGAAAAAAAGAACGTTTTTGCCAATTTCTATTTCTTTGCAAATCTAATTTTCCTTCAATTTTTGCAAGATTCAAGCTGAGCAGAATTTTACATCAACTCAATTCTAACTCTAGCACATTTCTAATCACTTCTAATACATCAAATACAGTAAAAGATGCATTTGACATATCCAAAATCGCTACAAAACTAGTTTTCTTTCAATTTTTTCAAGTTTCAACCTGAGCAAAAGTATTTCTCTTTGTCGAAAACGACATGTAAGAAAAAAAGAACGTTTTTGCCAATTTCTATTTCTTTGCAAATCCAATTTTCCTTAAATTTTTGCAAGATTCAAGCTGAGCAGAATTTTGCATCAACTCAATTCTAACTCTGGCACATTTCTAATCACTTCTAATACATCAAATACGGTAGAAGATACATTTGACATATCCCATAACGTTACAAAACTAGTTTTCTTTCAATTTTTCCAGGTTTCACCTTGTGCAGAATTTTCTATCTATTCAATGTAAACTGCAGCATATTTCTCATTGTCGAAAACAACAAATAAGGAATTTTGCCAGTTTTTATTTCTTTCCAAAACAAATTTTTCTTGAATTTTTGAAAGATTCAATCTGAGCAGAATTTTCCATGAACTTAATTTGAACTCTATCATATTCCCCATCATTTCTAACATATTAAAAACGGCACAACATACTTTTGACATATCCCGTATCGTTACAAAACTAGTTTTCTTTCAATTTTTCCAAGTTTCAACTTGCGCAGAATTTTCCATCTACTCAATTTGAACTGCATTGTATATTTCATTGTCAAAAACAGCAAAAAAGAGAAAAAAAATCGTTTTTTCCAGATTCTAATTCTTTGCAAAACCGATTTTCCTTGCATTTTTGCAAGTTTCAAGCGGAGCAGAATTTTTTATCAATTCAATTTGAACTCTATCACATTTCCCATCATTTCTAATACACAAAAAACGGCAAAAGATACTTTTGACATAGTTTCAACATTCTGAGCAAGTTTCAACTTGCGCAGAATTTTCCACCAACTCAATTTGGACTACATTATATTCTTCTATATCCAAAGCAGCAAATAAGGAATTTTTGACAGTTCCTAGTTCTTTGCAAAACCAGTTTTTCTTGATTTTTTGCAAATTTCGGGTTGAGCAAAACCTTTAATCAATTTAATTTGAACTGCAGCAAATTTCTCACAATGTCTAAAACAGCAAATATTGCAAAAAATACTTCTGCCATTCCTTATTTCATTGCAATACCAGTTTTTTAAGATATTTTGCAAAATTTTAATTGCAGCAGATTTCTCATTATCTCCAATATTCTAAACTAAATCACTTTCAGTGTTAAAATCGCATAATTTTGTTTTTATTTTAATAGAATTCGATTAATCCAACATCGTATTCATAACCTACATTAAATTCCCTTTAAAATGAGCCCAAACTCGATGGGGTTATCTTAAAAAACAACAAACTTCCGGTTGTCACTTTTTTGAGGTTATGTTAAAATTAAATTTTTGAATATCTCGCGTGTTTTTTTGACATAATCGGGTCGAGTTTGGACTCAATTTGAAGCGTTTTTAATTCCGCACACGATGGTGAATAAATAAAAAACCTAACCTCACTTTATAAACGTCAAATCAATATTAGTTGATATTTTCCGCCATCTTGATTAATACACAATAACGAAAAGCTTTATTTTTAGATCTAAAGCACCCCGCGAATTTATTTCGTTAAAACCGAAACAATTTTTTTTTAATCATCCACCATTTTGTTTTTATTTTTATGGAATTCGATTAATCTAACATTGTATTCGTAACCTACATTAAATTCCCTTTAAAATGAGCCCAAACTCGATGAGGTTATCTTAAAAAAAACAGCAAACTTCCGGTTGTCACTTTTTTGAGGTTATGTTAAAATTAAATTTTTTAATATCTCGCGTGTTTTTTGACATAATCGGGTCGAGTTTGGACTCAATTTGAAGCGATTTTAATTCCGCACACGATGGTGAATAAATAAAAAACCTAACCTCACTTTATAAACGTCAAATCAATATTAGTTGATATTTTCCGCCATCTGGATTAATACACAATAACGAAAAGCTTTATTTTTAGATCTAAAGCACCCCGCGAATTTATTTCGTTAAAACCGAAACAATTTTTTTTTAATCATCCACCATTTTGTTTTTATTTTTATGGAATTCGATTAATCTAACATCGTATTCATAACCTACATTAAATTCCCTTTAAAATGAGCCCAAACTCGATGGGGTTATCTTAAAAAACAACAAACTTCCGGTTGTCACTTTTTTGAGGTTATGTTAAAATTAAATTTTTGAATATCTCGCGTGTTTTTTTGACATAATCGGGTCGAGTTTGGACTCAATTTGAAGCGTTTTTAATTCCGCACACGATGGTGAATAAATAAAAAACCTAACCTCACTTTATAAACGTCAAATCAATATTAGTTGATATTTTCCGCCATCTTGATTAATACACAATAACGAAAAGCTTTATTTTTAGATCTAAAGCACCCCGCGAATTTATTTCTTTAAAACCGAAACAATTTTTTTAAATTATCCACCATTTTGTTTTTTTTTTTTATGGTATTCGATTAATCTAACATTGTATTCGTAACCTACATTAAATTCCCTTTAAAATGAGCCCAAACTCGATGAGGTTATCTTAAAAAAAACGGCAAACTTCCGGTTGTCATTTTTTTGAGGTTATGTTAAAATTAAATTTTTTAATATCTCGCGTGTTTTTTGAGATAATCGGGTCGAGTTTGGACTCAATTTGAAGGATTTTTAATTCCGCATACGATGGTGAACGAATAAACCTCAGTTTATAAACGTCAAATCAATATTATTTGATTTTCCGCCATCTTGATTAATAATTTTAATTAAATGATAACAAATAAGGAAAGAAACCCATTTTTGACAGTTCCTATTTCTTTGCAAAACCGCCTTTAGGTTGAGCAAAATCTCTAATCAGTATAATTTGAACTGCATCAAATTTCTCACAATCTAAAACAGCAAATATTGCAAAAAAACAATTCCTCCATTTCCTCCATTTCATTACAATACTAGTTTTTTAAGATTTTTTCCAAATTTTGGATTGAGCAAAATTAATTTTTTTAAATCATTCACGCTCAAATTGTCCGCTAGATGGCGCCATCGACGTCGCGAAGCTAGCTAGTGGCTGCGGTTTGAAACTCGGCTAAGTGTTTTCATAAATGCAAATTTAAGTTATTATTATTTATGCAAATTAACTTAATTAATTTTAAAATTTAGGCGTTAAGAACAAAGAGTTTACTATACGAAGTATTTACTAAAAATTTATTTCAACACTGTCAATGTCAAACAATGTTTAATCAGTTTAATTTGAACTGCGGCAAATTTCTCACAATCTAAAAAAAACACTTCGGCCAATTCCTATTTCATTACAATTTTTAAGATTTTTTCCAAATTTTGGATTGAGTAAAATTAATTTTTTAATTTTCAGTAGTTATTTAAGTTGTGTTTTGGATAAACGCAATTCACGCTCAAATTATCCGCTAGATGGCGCCACCGGCGGCGCGAAGAACTTTGGTAGTTGCGGTTTGAAACTGGGCTAAATGTTTTTATAAATGTAAATTAAAGTTAATTAATTTGGGATTTAGGGGTTAAGAACAAAAACTTTATTATTTTCTACAAAATAAAGTGAATCTTAAACTTAGCTCTCATTTTTAGCTGTCATTAAATTATTTTTTTATGTTGGTTCACCTAACGTCAATGTCAAACGTCAATTTAATTTTTAAACATTTTTGTAAATGTCAAAGTTGACATTTCTAGTGCTAGTTTTAGTTATTTTTATTAAACTGAGGANAATATCTCGCGTGTTTTTTGAGATAATCGGGTCGAGTTTGGACTCAATTTGAAGGATTTTTAATTCCGCATACGATGGTGAACGAATAAACCTCACTTTATAAACGTCAAATCAATATTATTTGATTTTCCGCCATCTTGATTAATAATTTTAATTAAATAATAACAAATAAGGAAAGAAACCCATTTTTGACAGTTCCTATTTCATTACAATACTAGTTTTTTAAGATTTTTTCCAAATTTTGGATTGAGCAAAATTAATTTTTTAAAATCATCTAATTTTCATTTTGGATAAACGCAATTCACGCTCAAATTATCCGCTAGATGGCGCCACCGGCGGCGCGAAGAACTTTGGTAGTTGCGGTTTGAAACTCGGCTAAATGTTTTCATAAATGTAAATTAAAGTTAATTAATTTAAGATTTAGGGGTTAAGAACAAAAACTTTATTATTTTCTACAAAATAAAGTAAATCTTAAACTTAACTCTCATTTTTAGCTGTCATTAAATTATTTTTTTATGTTGGTTCACCTAACGTCAATGTCAAACGTCAATTTAATTTTTAAACATTTTTGTAAATGTCAAAGTTGACATTTCTAGTGCTAGTTTTAGTTATTTTTATTAAACTGAGGACGCCTGAAGACGCTTTCTAGGTCCAGTGTTAGAATTAACACCGTTTAATTGTTATTCAGCGTTAAATTACAATTATGATTTAATTTTTAGGATCATCACAAACTTAAAATGGAATCCACAAGACACGGACGGCTCCCTAAAAATTTCCGACGCCGGAAAAGTCTTAATCGACGCCTTCATCAAACAAAGCAAAGGAGGAAACGCGAATGGAAGCTTAAAAGTAACCATCCCGAGCATAACCATGCAAGGCCAATTAAAAGCATCGAAATACAGCGGGACCTCCACTTTAACCATCGACATCACCGACGTTCGCAAAATGAAAGCTGACAGCACTTTTAACGTTAACTTACCAACGTTTAACCTCGATTTGACCCTTTTCACCAACCTTGGAAAAGATGACTCTAGGAAATATCGAATTGCAACGACGAGTGTCTTCAAAAAAGATTCAATCGATTCCAAGTAATTTAATCAAACAACAAAAAAATAAATTAATTAATTAATTAAATCATTTTTTAGGAACATTTTAGACATTCTTGGAAAAACCACCTCTTTCAACATAAAAGGAAGCAACTCTGGTGGTGTTAAAGAGGGAAAAACCGACGGAGAATTCGATTTAACTCTCCCCAACGACCTTTATTTCGCCGGAAAACTCAACAGGGAACGCAAAGAAATGAAAGGTGTGGCAAATGGAAATGTTTTCCTCAGCTTGGAACAACGCGATAATAAAAACGCCCCCGGTCGCAAAATCAGTGTGAAAGGAGTGGGTAAAAACGTCAATCACGAACAAGGAATCTACGACATCGTTTACAACGTAATCTTAGAAAATGGAAATGGTAAAAACGTCAATATCGACTTGGATTTTAAAGGAACTAGAGCTGGAATTAAACAAAATTTGATCTGGTTGGTTAACATTCATGGAGCTGCGTTGAGTGAGGCGATTAAAAATAAGTTCAGTTTGAGTCACGAAATGGGGATGGGAGAATTTTTGATTAATTTTGAGCATGGTGCTTCGTCCATGTTGAATGTGAAGGGAAATCTTCATCACCATCATGATGATAAATCAGGAAAACCATGCACTGGGGCGATCGAAATTGAGTTGAAAACGCCGTTGAGTAAATTGAAAGTGTTTAAATTGAAGTCGGATGGGACGGTTTTGGTTCCAATGGAGAAAGGGCAAGGACAATTGGAGATTTTGAATAATTTCTCCATGTTTTTGGATGATGATGGAACTAATCCAAAACCGACCGTTGATATTGAGATGAAGAATGATTGGAAATTGGGTGTACATAAAGGTGAGGTTATTTTTATTTTTTAATTTTATGATTTTTTGGGAATTTTAAGTTGAGCAGAATCTGTAATCAACTTAATTTTAGTTGAAACTGATTCCTCATCATGTTTAAAACAGAAAATGTTAAAAAAAAGTCTTCTGCCATTTCCTATTTCATTAGAAAATTAGTTTTCCATGATTTTTTAGAAATTTCGAGTTGAGCAGAATCTTTAATCAACTTAATTTGAGCTAAAACAGATTCCTCATCTTATTTAAAACATAAAATATTTAAAACAAAGTCTTCTGCAATTTTTATTTTATTAGAAAATTAAATTTTCATCATTTTTTGCTAATTTCAGATTGAGCAGAATCTTTAATCAATTAAATTTGAGCTGAAATAGATTCCTCATAATGTTTAAATCAGAAAATATTAAAAATAAATCTTCTGCCATTTCCTATTTGATCACAAAACAAAATTTTCCATGATTTTTTGGAAATTTCGAGTTGAGCAGAATCTTTAATTAACTTAATTTGAGCTGAAACAGATTCCTCATCATGTTTAAAACAGAAAATGTTAAAAAAAATTCTTTTGCCATATCCTATTTCAATACAAAACTAGTTTTTCATGATTTTTTTGCAAATTTCGAGTTGGGCAGAATCTTTAATCAACTTAATTTGAGCTAAAACAGATTCCTCATCTTATTTAAAACATAAAATATTAAAAAAAAAAGTCTTCTGCCATTTCCTATTTCATTAAAAAATTAGTTTTCCATGATTTTTTAGAAATTGCGAGTTGAGCAGAATCTTTAATCACTTTAATTTGAGCTGAAACAGATTCCTCATCATGTTTAAAACAGAAAATATTAAAAAAAAATCTTCTGCCATTTCCTATTTCACCACAAAACTAATTTTCCATGATTTTTTGGAAATTTCGAGTTGAGCAGAATCTTTAATTAACTTAATTTGAGCTAAAACGGATTCCTCATCATGTTTAAAACATAAAATATATAAAAAAAAAGTCTTCTGCCATTTCCTATTTCATTAGAAAATTTGATTTCCATGATTTTATAGAAATTTCGAGTTGAGCAGAATCTTTAATCACTTTAATTTGAGCTAAAACAGATTTCTCATCATGTTTAAAACATAAAATATTTAAAAAAAAGTCTTCTGCCATTTCCTATTTCATCACAAAACTAATTTTCCATGATTTTTTGGAAATTTCGAGTTAGGCAGAATCTTTAATCAACTTAATTTGAGCTAAAACAGATTCCTCATCATGTTTAAAACATAAAATATTAAAAAAATGTCTTCTGCCATTTCTTATTTCATTCGAAAATTAGTTTTCCATGATTTTTTTGCAAATTTCGAATTGAGCAGAATCTTTAATCAATTTAATTTGAGCTAAAACAGATTCCTCATCATATTTAAAACATAAAATATTTAAAAAAAAGTCTTCTGCCATTTCCTATTTCATTAGAAAATTAGTTTTCCATGATTTTTTAGAAATTTCGAGTTGAGCAGAATCTTTAATCAACTCAATTTGAGCTAAAACAGATTCCTCATCATGTTTAAAACATAAAATATTAAAAAAAAAGTCTTCTGCCATTTCCTATTTCATTAGAAAATTAGTTTTCCATGATTTTTTAGAAATTTCGAGTTGAGCAGAATCTTTAATCAACTTAATTTGAGCTAAAACAGATTCCTCATCATGTTTAAAACATAAAATATTAAAAAAAAAGTCTTCTGCCATTTCCTATTTCATTAGAAAATTAGTTTTCCATGATTTTTTAGAAATTTCGAGTTGAGCAGAATCTTTAATCAACTTAATTTGAGCTAAA